CAACAGCATGCACAGGCATTGAATGCATAAGGCAGTTGTTCCACATAAAAAAATGTGCCACTGTAAGCTCATAGTGATTAAATGAGAAGTTTCTATAGATGTCAACACAATCAAACAGACAATGAAAACCTGTTACCAAAAAACAGTTTGCGGAAATGCATGCCATTCTCAGACACTCAAACGTCAGATCGACATAAGGTAAAAATTTACAGTGGAATGCCCAAAATGTATACGCTAGGAGTTCATATAATTACTCAACTTGCAAACAACTGAACTCTTTTTGTCCTATACAATAAATGATGTCTTACCATTACCCATGTGTCTCAAACATCAAATCAAGTATCTTCTTATATTCGAGTTTTGGTCAGTGCATACTCAATAAATCTGGCAACCTTAACTTTTTTTACACTTCTACAACACAGTGTGTCAGAGATTGTGTGGCAATATTTAATAAAAAGGTGTTTTTTTAACAAAAGCTTTTGGGACAAAAGGAATTAAGGTGAGAATTTACTGTGCAACTGGCACACACCAAACAACATACCAAACCGAATATAATCTGGCCGGATGCCAGTACCCATTAAAAAAATTGATGGAATTAAGGAAATGGCAGCAATTTAGTAATGCGTTATTGAAATAAATAAAAGTTGGTAAAATACTGCTCAACAAAATGTTGGCTTTTATTTAAAATGCGCACAGTAATAAGGAATGATACAAATTTTAAAAATTAAACATTTTAATACACATAAAAATATGACTGGCCAAAATCAAATTTTTAAAAAAATAAATATAAGCAAAAGCTTAAAGCTCACTATTTGGTTTAACTCTGCAATAGTTAAAAAAAAAAAACATAGGGCAACAGTGCACAATTCTAGTATTTACAAATCATAACTTTCGGATCTCGAGGCTCAAACATGAATGAAGATGAAGATGTATTAGTAGGAAAGTAAAAATATAATGTTCACCTAATCATAGAGTCAATGTGACTTAGACGTTGCAAACACTCTGTAATCACAGAAGACCCAGTTCAATTTCAGCCCACCAGGATATCACACAGTGCGATAAATACCAGGTGACACAAAGTGCCACCATCGGATGAGGATCACCCATGGAGAGGTCCCAGAAACCGCTTTCAGCAGTGAGGCTACATTGGGGCCTCCGGCAAAAGCTAGGGTGGGGCTTCACAATAATGAAAAATTGCGTCCCACATGGGGAAGACCTCATTACGAACACACCTATGTTATTTTGACAATGATATCAACAGCTGACCATTCAGAATCAAGGGAAACCACTGAACATAAATGCTAAATGTTGAATTAAGAATTATCATCACAGCACTCAGGACACTCCCATAAGTGCACAGTCTCCATCTTTAGCAGCAAGCAAAGAGTTCCAACTCCGATGGTACCAGTAACCGTTTGGTTGTATATCCTTCTCATCCTTCCCCTGAGTGTTGAGTGTCGGCCAGATCCCCTGGTAACTCCTCGCAGCGGCATTCTCCTTAGACGGTAATGATCTTTCTGCGCCTCCGCACTGTTCACTCTTTCAAAGGGCTCCCACAATATCTAACTTGTCATACTTCAATTCACCACCAAGTGGTGTAGAGCCAGTCAGTCTATTTGCCTGCTCATTTCGCAACACACCGTCATGACCAGGAGAAAATATCCAAAGTATGCTAACTACCTTGGGACCTCTGAAGTGATGCTTGCCACTCTGCACGAAGCATGCCTGTTTTTACCTTACTCAACATGCTCTGTGAGTCAGTTATAATCACAGCATGTGTGCATGGCTGATTACCACTGAACATAAACACCGCCTAGTAAACCAAACAGCAACGCACACACAAATTACTGGGGCTATTTCTGCAATGTCCTGTAAAGAAAGGACACGTAACTAACCAACCATAAAGAGATCTTGACAGGAGAATAAAAAATGCATGGAATTATAGGTAGTTCCTCCCTGTGTGGGTTCCAGGGCCCTATTGTGGGGAAAACAAGAACAGACCCACTGCCTCTCCAACAAGCATGTCGCAAGAGTCGACTAATTGGGGGCTTCCTTCGAAGTTGGAGTGCATCGGCTCAAGAGGCAAGGAACCAACAATCTGCATACAAGTAAGTCAGAGCTGTAAAGCAGATGTGCACGCAACACTCTGGTTCTGGAACAAGACTAATGTCCCGAGGTGGACAACACAACCATAACTTTCTGCGGGGGTTTACAGTTGGTGAACACGAAGAAGAAGAAGAAGAAGAAGATAGGTAGTTCCATAACGTATGTTTGTATAACAACATACCTGTACAGTGGTTTTTGCTGGGTTTGTAAAATATTGCATTATAATGAAAAGTTCATATTTGCTGAACTGAAAATTCCAGCTCAAAGACCCCCTACCTCCCTGATTACACCCCAAAAAGTGGTAGCCGCGGGTGGTAATGAAAGCGGGGTTTATGGCAATCCCAGCTGCGGAAAACTATGGGCAGAGACAGAAAATATCCAGCGTAGAGAATATTGTGCACATCAATTCCAGCATTCCCCATGTGGGTTGAAGGTTTAAAGATTAAAGCCGAGCAGATCAACTTCACGGCACTGTGTTTTATCCCATATGGCTCCTTCTCTCTCCTCAGAACAGCTAGCTGCCTGCTGAGAGCGCTGCATTGAGCACGAACTCCGTAGCTCCAGCAACGATCCCCAGGAATCTCTGTAAAAACTACAACCGTGAACTGAACGGCACAGCCTTGAAAAAACCACGACCTTCAGTGTCCGAGACAAACGGCTTGACCACTTCTCCATAGGGACTCTCATCTATTTTGGTTAAAGGAAGTTCAGGACCATTTTTCCCAAACAAGCATGTTATCAAAGGTGGTTAGTCAGGGGTCTGTTGAAACTGGCTGGCTCTGCACAACTTGGTGAAATACAGATGCAAAAGGTAGACATGGTTGGTGCCTTGTAGCAGAGCGTTCACCTCACTATGAGAACATGTTCACTAAGAACATGGTCAACCAGGCACCCCCCCTCCCCTTACCCCCCTCCTAAGGTGTCTTATTGTCTATTGTACAGCTTGAAACCCACAACTTTAGAATACGGACAGGATTCATTTCAAACCATTGAAATGGCACCATAGGTTACAGAAATTTATAATAACGAAGCATAGGTCGAAAAACAAGCACAGCAACAATTTACGAAAGTTATTTGACTGGTAGGTTTCGGTGTGTTGGTACAAGAACCCACATGCAAAAACAATGATAATATTTTACGTGTCCCACTTAAAAATTTTAGGTTTTCAGCTCAAAAGATACCAACTAAAGAATATTTTGTAAAGGAGATTTAGGGAATACAATGTTTGATTTGTAGGATAATATTGTTTGTTTGTTGTTTGTTTTAGTATCCAGAAGCCATGAGTTGCTTAACCCTTAGGCTCGTTATTATGGATATCGCAACCTTTCGACCTTGATTCCATTGTAAATACCATAAATCTGGAAGAAATGTGGCTTTTCTGCCTACCCCCGGGAGTGAACCCGGACCACAAGGAGTTTGTCACCCGGTCACCGCATAATCCCGTTTAGCCAACTACGCTAGAGAGCCGGGCATAGGATTATATAAAATATTATGTAAAATATGTTCAAATAAAGTGAAACTATTATGTCCAGACAGAAGCACAATGCACACAAATATTATGTTACAGTAACCGTAAACAACCTGTGATGGAGGGATCCGTTTTTGGGTAAATTAGGCAGGGAAGTTTGCTTAAAATAAATTGGACAGCCAAAAAGAGCAACCAAGAGGTTTTGAAAGAGGTGGGTGCCAGAAGACAACTTATCACAAACATCAGAAGGAGACAGTCATCATTTTTCGGCCATATAAGAAGAGAGAAAATGGAACATGTTGGAAAGAAATCTGTGGGATGAGGGATAGAGGAAGACGACAAGAGAAGATTCTTGACAGTCTTGTTGCATGGCATGGAGGTGTAACAGCACACGAACTGATACACGCTGCAGGAGATCGCGAATTGTGGAGAAGCATCATTGCCCATGCCAGTCGGCAAGGCACCTAATGATGATGATGAGGCAGAGGCAGACCTCCGCGAAGCGGATACATGACAATAAAGATGCAGTGGCTTTGAAAGCACACAGGGCTGGAGAATTCGCTAAAGAAAGAGATTTTCAGGTGTGCTATGTTGACAGGGACATTCTACAAAGGCCTTGCCGATTGATGGCGAAACCATGGTCAAAAGTACAATTGGAATACAACAGTGGAGGACATCTGTGTCTAAGTAACATTAGGTGATGGAAATATAACATACAACTATTGTGTACAGGTAACTTTAGACAGAAGCACAGATGGAAATATAATGTAAGTAAAGTAAAGATCCCTTTTCATGCCTTTAGGCGCATTGGGCATATGGGAAGAGCACCCATATTTTTACAGACCAATCGGTACCAGGTGGGTAATGTGGTCACCATTACAGCGGCTGTCTTTACTTCTCCAGGACATACATCCTGGTACCCATTTTAGGCTGGGTCGACCTGCGCCACACCATACCATGATAAAAATCCACGCAGCCAGTAGTGGGTTTCGATCACGTTTGGTTGGAATTACAAGTAGGACTCGCAACGCCTAAGCCACGGACGCGGCGGAAATATAATGTAGAACTATCTAGGTAAAATTAGAGCAAATGGAAAGATAATGTACAACTACTGTTTCTAGGTAACACAAGATAGAACTTTTTAGCATCTTTCTATACTGCTATACTGAGCTGGGGGAGGCATGGAAGATAGAACTATTTTAGTCATTGTTTCCAAGAGTTTAAAACAAAATGTGTTTAAACAAGAAACTCAAGAAAACAAAACTAATCAAATGATGACACAGAATAAAACTGACTGCTGCTCAACTGAGCATGGCAATGTTAAAACAGCCATAATAAATAAATAAATATATGGACTGTCAGGTCAAATAGCAGGGACTAGCATAATGATGACTGACTGTGCCAGCTGAGGTTGGTGTGGGTCATGTCACCGATCTGGAGAACTCTCCCGAACCTGCCTCCCTCTCTTCTGGCAGAGCCGCTTGTGTGCTGGCCAATCTCTCTCTTGACAAGATGTCCCGCAGTATCTACAACAGTAAAGGAATATTTTCACGCCAGTGTGGCTTCAGGCATATGGTGCCAAACTCATATTTTTATCAGCCAATCTGCACCGGGTGACTGATGTGGTCAATATCATGATGGTCATTTTTACTTCCCTGACATTACCTAAAAGCCATTTTTCTTCTTCTTTGCGTTTACCTGCTGTAAGCTCCATCTAAAAGTTCTGGTTGTTTGTCCATTTCACGACTTCATCTTGTTCCAGAACATGAGTGTTGAGTGCATAGCCGTTTCACAGATCTGACTTATTTGTATGCAGACTGTTTGTTCCTTGCCTCTTGGGCAGATGCACTCTAACTTCCTTAAGCAACACCCCACCCCTACCCCCCTCAACAAGTTAGTGGACTCTTACGTCATGCTTGTGGGGAGGCAATGGGTCTATTCTTGTTTTCCCCAAAATGGGGCCTCAGCATCCACAGGGAGATAGTAGCCATTTTAGGCTGGGTCAACCCGGGTGTAGAATCAATTCTGAAACAAATCTCCGTCTCGATGAGGGTTCAACCCAGGATATTTGGGCTGACAAGTGAGTGGCTAGCCATTACAACAGAAGCATAATCTCATTCTAATGCCTTTCTACACGTCAACATTAGAGGCACTCACATGGATCTACTGTCCGGTATGTGCAGGAGTATGAGGGAATTAAAGAGCTGATTTTATTTTATTTTTGTGGATACGAGAACACTCACACTGGACAAAAGGTTAGTTGCGTATCCTTTACAGGAGGTTGCAGAACCAACCCCAGCAGCCCCTGGCTGTTGTGTGGTTTCTCCAGGCAAATTTACGTCCAGTAGTTTGCCACTGCTTTCTGGACGGTCGGCCCTCTGATACCAGTGTCAAAACCAATGCAAGGCGCATGGCCCGCAGCTTGGATCGAACCCGGCACCCCAGCATTACGAATGGTTCTAATCGACTTAGCCACAGAGCCGACACACAGGACAAAGGGGACCTCTTAAGAAGAAATGCTGTCAGAAGGTGTGAGATCAGATGAAATGACATGTGTAAAAATATGTGAACGAGAAATCAGGTGTAGATTCGGCAGGGAGGGATGTACGAGAGGACAAGAACAATGAGTTTATAATCAGTTTGCTGCAGGAAGAGTTAGTATCTACACCTTCAGACATCTGCTGCGGGAGATTGAGCATATATGGATATGCCCGGTGTTCTATGATACTGATTCTCAAATCAATCATTCTTAATACATTTCTACTTTAGATTTTGACAATATCCTTTTTTACCCATCATCAACTCCTGTTCTAATAACCACATCCATAAAAGTGTACTAAATATAACATCAGTAACTCGTCTACCTCAAACAACAGCAGGCACACATAAAATAAAAATCACATCAGTAACTCTTTTACCACAAACCACATCAGTAATATAGTTAACAGATTTTCCTCACTGCACATCAAATGAGTCCATAAGCGCTCAGATCCCATCTTCAGTATCTCCCTCAGCAAATGGCGACTGATAACCCCAGTTCTGTGCTGGTTTACTATTCTTCTTTGGCTACCTGTAAAGAGTTCAAGTCTATCAACAGTTCTTTGTCAAGGTTGCTAATTCATCCTCTTTTCCTGAGTCATTTACTGGCTCTGCCTCCTTGAGAGCACTGAAAACATTTGATAGGTCCATTGCCTTTCCTGTGCCTACCGTGGCTCTGCCAGCAAGCCAATCCACTCCTTCATTCCCTATTACCTCAAAGTGCCCTGGCACAAAAATGAAACGAATTCCTGTAACATTTGTACAATCAGTAACATTTGTACCACAAATTACATCAGTAACATTTGTACCACAAATCACATCAGTAACTTTTGTACCACAAGTGATATCAATAACTTTTGTACCACAAATTACATTAGTAACATTTGTACCACAAATCACATCAATAACTTGTGTACTACAAATTACATCAGTAATATTTGTACCACAAATTACATCAGTAACATTTGTACCACATGTCACATCAATAACTTTTGTACCACAAATTACATCAGTAACATTTGTACCCAAAAACTTACATTAGTAACATTTGTACCACAAATTACATCAGTAACATTTGTAACACAAATCACATCAATAACTTTTGTACCACAAATTACATTAGTAACATTTGTACTACAAATTACATCAGTAACATCTGTACAATAAATTGTATGAGTAACTCTCATACCATAAATTCTATCAGTAGTTTATCTGTGATCTCCCAAATTTACTGATCTCTTTGATCTCCCACATAAACATTAAACATCATCTCACACATATTAAAAATTCCCATATCTCCCACACATATTGAACTCTCACATCTCCACCATACACTGAACTCTCACACTGCCCACATATACTGAACTCTCACATCTCCCACATATACTGATCTCTCATATACTTACCTCTCCCAGCAAAGACTGTGGGTCTGGCCCAGGGGATCCACATTGCGAGAGAAGCTATGGAGGACCGGTGGCGACCTTAAACGCACTATCCTATTTTTGACCCAGACGGGACTCAATGTTTAGCATGACTGACGTCGAACACAGAAGAAGAAGAAGAACTGATCTCTCAATATCTCCCACATATATTGAACTCTCACATCTCCCTTATATGCTAAACTCTCACATCTCCCACATATATTGAAATCTCACATCTCCCCCATATGCTAAACTCTTACATCTCCCACATATACTGAACTCTTAAATCTCTCACATATACTGATCTATCACATATATTGAACTCTCACATCTATCCCATATGCTGAACTCTCACATCTCTCACATATTCTGAACTCTCACATATCCCACATATACTGAACTCTCACATCTCCCTCACATACTGAACTCTCACATCTCCCACACATGCTGAACTCTCACCTCTCCCAAACATGCTGAACTCTCACATCTTGCACATATACTGAACTCACCCTCATACATTGAACTCTCACATCTCCCACATATATGGAACTCTCACATCTCCCACACATACTGAACTCTCACATCTCCCACATATGTTGAATATATCAGGCTCCAACATCTCTCGCAAAAACTAAATTCTGACATCTCCATTTCTTAACTTTTGCCCTATAAAACATGTATCTGCAACTCACCTGACTTCCTGACATCTCCCACATATACTGAATTCTCGGATTTCCCTCTCCATACGTGTGCATGGTGCGTAGTGACACTCATAATAAACATAACTTCCATCTGGAATACAAAAGCATGGAAATATGTTATTTTATAGGCAAAGAATCATGCTGTATTGATAAAGTGGTTTTTTAGAGGCAATGAGTCACACTGTACTGATGTGGACTTTGGAGGCAATGAATCACAATGCACTGATAAAGTGGACTTTGGAGGCAATGAATCACACTGCAGTGATAAAGTGGACTTTGGAGGCAATGAATCACACTGCAGTGATAACGTGGACTTTGGAGGCAATGAATCACACTGTATTGATAACGTGGACTATGGAGGCAATGATCACAATGCACTGATAAAGTGGACTTTGGAGGCAATGAATCACAATGCAGTGATAAAGTGGACTTTGGGGGCAATGAATCACACTGCGCTGATAATGTGGACTTTGGAGGCAATAAATTACACTGCAGTGATAAAGTGGACTTTGGAGGCAATGAATCACACTGCACTGATAATGTGGACTTTGGAGGCAATGAGTCACACTGTAGTGCTAAAGTGGACTTTGGAGTTAAAGTGGACCCAGAGACCAGGAAGCAAACTGAACTGACACATTGATGTCTTTGGGAATATTACGTGGTGAGGGCCAGAACTCTCTCACATTGATGTCTTTGGGAATATTATGTGCTGAGGCCCCAATCTCTCACACATTGATGTTTTTAGGAATATTATGTGGTAAGGCCCCAATCTCTCTAACATTGATATCTTTTGGAATATTACATGCTGAGGCCCCGATCTCTCATAAACTGATGTCTTTAGGAATATTGTGCCGAGGCCAAAATCTCTCTAACATTGATGTTTTTGGGAATATTACGTGCTGAGGCCCCAATCTCTCCAACATAGATGTCCAAGGGAATATTACATACTAAGACCAAAATCTCTGACACACTGATGTCTTTAGGAATGTTACGTGGTGAGGCCCCAATCTCTCACACATTGACGTCTTTGGGCAATACTGAGGCCCCAATATCTTACAAAATGTAACTCTTGTACTGCCCCAATCTCTCATAAACTGATGTCTTTAGGAATATTGTGCCGAGGCCAAAATCTCTCTAACACTGATGTTTTGGGGAATATTACGTGCTGAGGCCCCAATCTCTCCAACTGATAAGCTAGGAACCAACAATCTGCATACAAAAAAGGTTGATCTGTTAAACGGAGGTGCACGCAATACTCAGGTTCTGAAACAAGACTTAAGTCCAGAGATGGGATGAACAACCAGAACAACGGGAAAAAGACATACTACTGTCCCAAAACAACAGCACGTGTTTATAAAGAACAGTTTTAAACGAGGCAAACATATCTCCTTACCTACTGGGCCTACGATATCTCCATTGAAGTCATACCACTTGCTGAAATGTGGGTAATTCTGAAATTCAATCGTTAAGAACATATAAAATGCTGAAGAGCTCTTGAGACCAGTAAAATAACTGGTGAATATCAGTGAAATAACTGGTGAATAACAGTGAAATAACTGGTGAATAACAGTGAACAACAATGTGCAGTGATGTCCACTGAAAAAACATTTACATAAACCTTCTGTTCCTTGTCTGCCCTATTCTCTTCCACTGAAGGATAAACACTGATGGAAAAACTTATATGAGAAATCAACATATGATGTGCGAAAGCAAAACAGGTTATGAGACATTCTAATAGCTCTATTATCAGATCTTTCTCTGTGTGTTGCAACCAAATAATTTGCACCTATATGAGTGCTAAAGAATGCCCTGCGAATGCCTTTTTTTTAATCATTAGGAATGACCAAGAAGATGATGGAGAGATAATGTCCAAAAAGACCTGCAAACACTTTGTGTCACCAACTGGAAAGAGAAGGCCAAAAAGGGAGCTGAATGGAGGCGGGTGATATCTGCAGCAATGAACCTCAAGGGCTCGGAATGCTGAAGAAGATTAAGAATGATGTACCATAAGATTTTTAAAAAACACTTTACTCTTTCAGCCCGCAAATGCTAAAATAATGGGTCATGAATAAGTGGGAATTACCCCAAAAACAACTACTTGACACAGGCAACACATAAATTATTTACAAATTCATTTATCTCAAATTTGTTTTTTCTGAAATAAATAAAGTTTATATAAAGGAAGTAATGAATAAACAAGAACGGAGTGAGGCATTAAACCGAATGCATTTCCCGTAGCATAAAACATATTTCAGGTGAATCATTCTGCAACCCCGTGACCTTTATCATGGAGACCTACTGGAAAACTTTTTTAAAAGCTGGTGGATTTACAGGGGTAAATGCTGACAAATGCTATAATTAGTAAATATATAACCAGCCGGGCCTGCCAAACACTCTGCTGACACAGAACCAATTTTATTTAGCTATGCTTTTCAAGAACAAGTGACTGCCTAAATGGTGATAGATCAGCATTCATGGCACTGGTCATAACCAGTGGTGACTAGATTTAGCGTTTTTAAAGTAAAAAGAGTAAAAGTAGAGGTCCCTTTTTCATGCCTCTAGGCGTATATGGCATAAAGGGCTAGACCTATATTTTTAAAGACCTATCGGCACAAGATAAGTGATGTGGTCAGCATCACGCTGGCTGCCTTTACTTTCCAAGACTGCACCCGGTACCGGCTCAAGGCTGGGTCGACCTGGGAAGCAAACCCACGACCTTTTGATACGCAGGAGAGTGTCTAGCCACTAGGCCACAGTGACTTCCTCGACAAGGTAAAGTCAGTTATGAAAGACAACAGAAATAAAATGACACGGCAAGGTAAAGTCAGCTGTAAAAGACAACAGAAATAAAATGATACATTTTAAATAAATATAATACGATCACTTCTTTTTTATTTGCATCCACCTTTAAAAAGGTGGTTGACATGTTACATTGTGGTTTACAGCATGGCAGCGGCCCAACACAACTGATTTAGCAAAGCCTCATTAGTCACGAATTCTGACATGCTGGTGAAGAAGCCCTGTTCTTTTTCACCAAAATTAGGGCTCCAGAACCCAACAGGTACATATAATCTCAACAAGCACGCAAAAAAGGAAGAAGAAGAAAAAAAAAGTCCAGGAGAAGGAAGAGTGTAATAGGGAGACGTCATCCCTTGTTTGTCATGAGGTAGGATACTGCGTATTCTTCTTCTTTCGTTCGCATGAAATAAATTATCTATATCTGCAATGCTGTCTCTAGTATGAATTTCACTGTCTTTTGTAATTCACTAACAGCCCGTAAAGTCTGACTTCCACAAGTGTCTCTTTTGGCCAGAAGTTTTGCCTGGAAGCGTTAAATCTGGGACAGTCTTGGAGGATGTGATCTGTTGTCTCAGGTGCCAGTCCACAGGTACACATGGCTGATTAGCCAATCTTAAATTTGTTGTACATGTGGCAGTGAAGTCGATTGTGTCCTGTTTTAAGGCGAAGGATAGTGGCTTGCTCTGGTCGGTCCATAATATGGTAATCATCTTGTGCCAGTTTCGGTGGCATTCTGATTGATTTGATCATTCTCTTCTTCTGTTGATAAGAGACTGGTATGTCAGGTTGTTCTTCAGTTGCACCTTCCTTAGCTAGTTTATCAGCTCTTTCGTTTCTGGGAACTCTACAGTGGGAAGGTATCTACTGCATTACTAATTTACAACGGTTGCCTAGTTCAGATAATAGTGTCCATATGCTTGGTAATTTTCCAGACTGGAGTGCCTGAAGTACCGCTTTTGCATCTGTCAGGAATACCACTGGTTGTGAAAAATACCCTGTATTTAGTAGTTTCTCTACCGCTATCTTGATGGCTTGAACTTCTGCATCATAGTTGTGACAGTGCTTTCCCGTTGGTATTTTGGCTGTATCCCTGGTATTATTAGGATACTCTATGTACACTCCTGCACCTCCGTTTCTGACTGCACTTTCGGCTGACCCATCTGTGTAAACACGGACCCAAAGATTCTGTGGGTATTCATCATCAAGTAGACTGAGGCTGGCTGTTTTGCGCTGCACACTGTTTTGTTCTTCCTTGTCAAATACTCCTTTCACTTCTGTCTTGATTTTTATTGGAAACTTATACTCCTCTCTCCAGGGGGTCTGCATTTAAGGATCTATAAGTTGCAGGCAAATGTATTGAGTATTAGTTGATGGGATGAAAGTTAACAGGTCTAGGCAATCTGGGCATTCTTTTCTAGAAATATCATTTGTTTTTTAGCAGAGTTATTTGCAAATGAATAATCTATAAATTGTATATGATATCACTGTTGACGTGCCCTATCCAAGTGAAAACAGTTGTACTAGCTTTCTGTAAGTCTCCATGAGGCTAGCTGTCAATTTAATTAGTATATTTAGGTGCAGAATAAGATGATGAAATCTGATACAATCAAAATGTCATTAGAAAATCCCATGTGAGAATGCAAATAGTAAACAAGTTTTAGCATACAAGAATATTCAAGAAGCAGTCAAAGTGAGAAGAAAATAAATATCTAGCATTCCAGCATCTAAGTATAATAATGGGTAAGAAACCACTTTAAAAGATCCTTCAGTTGATGAGACATAGAAGAGAAGAGACTAGTAACATGGACCCTCAAAGAGAACCTTCAGCTGCTAAGACTCGGACTAGTTTCATAGACCCTCCCAGTTGTGAAGATGCCAGCTCAACACTAGAGGCAGAGGAGCCATTCACATGAAGCCTCGAAGACAGACATTAGAGAAGAGACATGAAATAAGACACTGAGCCACAGAGACGACACACAAGATACAAGGATCCATGGTTAACAGAGACACATTTCGTAGAAACACCATTGAGATGTTAGAGTTGACGATTAAGCCGCTAGTGCCAGACAGCACTAGAAGACAGGTGGCAGTTACAGACACTAGAACCAGTTCACAAAGTAACTAAAGATAAGGAACACAACGTGATCTAAGAGTATGTAACCACAGAGCGAAAACAGCGGCATTCTGAAAATCACTGATGTTGTTTGTGACATTACTGAAGTATCATAATAAAGACATTTTATACTTCAAACATCAGAGTCACATGAGAAGCATGCAGCTAGCAAGACATCATCATCATCACCACTATTGACACGACCATCTTTCTCCTCATCTATTCTCTTTCAATTGACTCCTCCTGTAGCAAATTAAAGAGGAACCTGGGTGTGACATCAACGTACACAAAGAACAGAGCTGTGCCACAAGAGAAGAAGACTCTACAACTGTGTCCGGACACAGACCTACCACTTCCAGGGGATCCCCAGTAAGCTGCATGATGGTAATCCAGTAGAGACTGTTCTCCCGGTTCTTGGTCTGACTCCCTGAAGACTCGTCAGGTTGTGAAGGCACCTGAGCCTGTCTGTTATCCTTGACCAACTCCAGGTTGTCCAAGCGGTTGTCAACCGTCACATGGTTCTTGTGGGTGACTCGCCAGCCGGGAGCGATGCCTCCATTGTGACTTTCCCTGTGGAAAAGTAAAAGTGACAGGACTCTCTTCACGCCTGCGACACACTGAGCATAAGGTGCTAGATTCACATTTTTATACATCCGTCAGCACTCAAAAAAAAGAATCCCAGTAACAGATCCTTTTACTTATTTGGGCAGTAAACTCCTTTTTTGACAGCTGGTCTAGGAAGGAAGCTCTGACAGACAGAGCACTGCTCTTCCGATCAACAAGTTCTGCAGCCAGCTTTGTTCCAAACGTACTTGTGTTACCTTTCCTTTTGGATAAACAAGGCAGAGAGAGGGATCATGATGCATAGGCAACATATGGTCTATAAAAAAACTGCTATGGAGAGGATGAACTTCATCCCAGTGAGTCCCATGCCTCCCCATAGCATTATCATCTGGAAAGACAGAAAGGTGCCAATTAAAACGTCTTCTTGTGACTGCTTACCGAATTAGATTGAAAGACTAGTTCTTATGATAAACTTGACTGTTTTTATGAGTACCCTTTTAGTCCCATACAACTTTGTGTACAGTGTTGACTCAGTGGACCAGTATTCCCTTCCTAATGGGCTGCACAATGGATATTCTTGCCGGACATGTTCTGCGGTTTGCACATACATCCCTGATGGGCACAATGGTAAACTACTTCGACAAAACCTGTATATGTGCTTGTTGACTTTGTTATGCTCTATCCTAAGGCATATAATTATGACCTGTCCATGCCGGTCAAGAGTGGTCATCTCTGGCCAGATTTTGTTCACTTTTGATAGATTGGCAGGCTTTATCTTCTAAAAGTATGTTGCTGCTTTGTCTTCCTGTTCCCACTGTGCCCCTTTTTAGCAAGATCTGCCGTTTCGTTTCCGCAATAATAATGACAGTCAAGAAAGTAGAAAGAAAGACATTATGACACCCATTAGCAAGCTATAAGCAGTGGGGGGGGGGGGGGGCTGAGTGGACTCCAGGCATGGCATCCATCTCGAGGCTGGAGGTCCCGGGTTCAATCCCTAGAAATTTCTCATAGTTTCTGGGTAATAAGATCGGACACTCCTGTGTATTGTTGCGCACGTAAAAAAGTCCCAGTTGGAAATCAAAAAGTGTAGCCTAACAGCGCTGCCCGCGCAAAATTTGGCGTTAAAAAACTACCCACAGTATTTAGGGATTCTTGCTGGTGCTACGGGGTTCGTGCACTGTGCTGAGAATTTTCGGACTCAGGCTTGAGTTAGAAGTAGACCAGAGACCTTATGGGTTACCACCCTTGTGCCATGAAGTTGATCCTTTGTATAAACTAATAAATTTAAAAAGTTTTTAAAAAAATGGGACTCTAATAAGTATATAGCCTGAGAACTGGAGTTGAGTCAAGAATTGACATCACATCACAGCACTCGGGGCATTCCCATGCATGCTCCCTCCTCATTTTCAGCAGCCAGTGCAGAGTTCCAATATTGATGGTATCAGTCACAATCTGGTTATATGTCCATGATATGTATATATGATTATATATATTTGTGTGTGTAGCCTGAGAACTATGATATGTAATTTAAATTCTTAAATTATTTCAGTTTTAATATTTATCAGTAAACAACCAGATATTTGGAAAGAAAGTTAAATGCATTCAAAAACAAATGCTTGAAGAAAACGATGGACATAGAATAGGACAAATTCAAGAGGAGTGAAGAAATAAACTAAATGTTGGTTCCTCGCCTCTCAGGCAGCTGCACTCGGGTGAAGAAAACACCCATAATCAGCCATCTTTATGACTTTTTTTTAGTGAGGTAGTGAAACTAAATTAAAACTATTACTTTTAAAATGATTAAATATAAGGTCAAATCAGTACTGTTGTATGGAGCAAAAAAATGGAGAACAAAGACAATTACTAAAAAAACTACAAAATTCCTTAACAGGCGCCTGTGCAGAATAGATAGAATTAAATGGTATGATAGAATCCCTAATGTAGAGCTTTGGGATAGAATGAAACCAGTTTCAGTGGACCAAGAGGAGAAGAAAAGGCACTGGCTTAGGACACACACTGAGAATACCTGAGAACAAAATAACTAGAATGTCTTTACCGCCTATGTTCTAATGGGGGTGAGAAAGACAGAAGAAGTGGGTCTGTTTTCCCCTTCTTCCTGGAACAGAAACATAGAGCTTATAAGATATAACATTTTTGCTCAATCCTTGCAGAGATATTTTTGGTGCTTTATTATTATCCTACCCCAAACGGGGAAAATCACAGGTCAAGACTGCATGCAGTCATGGGACCTAGGCTGCATGCAGTCGTGGGACCTAGGCCGAACTCTCTCGTGTGACGTAGGTAGATTGGTGTTAGGACTAGTTCTAGATGTTTTGGGGTCATTAAAAGCATCAGAAAGCCCAGTATTACCACCCTCTAAAAGGTTTGACTGTCCTGTGACATCTTCTGGAGGTAGGATATCATGAAAGAACCATATTTTTTTCTACTGATGTAATGACAAAACTTTCATGTGGAGATTTTCTGTTTAAATCATAATCGAGTCTCTGGAGAATACTACTCTCATCAAGATCTGACAAAAATGCTCCAGGTCCCTTACCTTGTCTCATAAGTTTTCATAAACTATCTTGGCTGTACACACCTGGAAATGCCAATGTAAAAGGATATGAAAGAGCTGACAGAGTGGCCTTGTTTGCAGTAGTTAGTGGAGGAAGACAATGGACAGGGCAGACATACGCAGAAATTCTGAAGCAATGGAGTCAAAGATGATGAACCGCCGGCTAGAAATGAGTATTAAATGAGGGGGGACAAACATGCAAAAGTTGGTCACGAGGCACAGAAAGAAGAGATGCCAGTCAACTCCTGCAGGACACGTTGAGCATGGAGACATTGAGGTGGCTGCTGGGCACAGAAAGAAGAGATGCCAGTCAATTCTTACTGGACACATTGAGCATGGAGACATTGAGGTGGCTGCTGGGCACAGAAAGAAGAGATGCCAGTCAGCTCCTACTGGACACGTTGAGCATGGAGACAATTAAGGTGGCTGCTGGGCACAGAAAGAAGAGATGCCAGTCAACTTCTGCAGAAGATATTGAACATGGAAACATTGAGGTGGCTACTGGGCACAGAAAGAAGAGAAGCCAGTCAACTCTTACTGGACACGTTGAGCATGGAGACATTGAGGTGGCTGCTGGGCACAGAAAGAAGAGATGCCAGTCAGCTCCTACTGGACACGTTGAGCATGGAGACATTGAGGTGGCTGCTGGGCACAGAAAGAAGAGATGCCAGTCAACTCCGACAGGACATGTTGAGCATGAAGACACTGAGGTGGCTGCTGGGCAAAGAAAGAAGAGATGCCAGTCAGCTCCTACTGAACATGTTGAGCATGGAGACATTGAGGTGGCTGCTGGGCAGAGAGATGCCAGTCAACTGCTACTGAACATGTTGAGCATGGAGACATTGAGGTGGCTGCTGGGCACAGAAAGAAGAGATGCCAGTCAACTCCGACAGGACAAATTGAGCATGGAGACATTGAGGTGGCTGCTAGGCACAGAAAGAAGAGATGCCATTAAACTCCGACAGGACACGTTGAGCATGGAGACATTGAGGTGTCTGCTGGGCACAGAAAGCAGAGATGCCAGTCAACTCTGACAGGACACGTTGAGCATGGAGACATTGAGGTGTCTGCTGGGCACAGAAAGAAGAGATGCCAGTCAACTCTGACAGGACACATTGAGCATGGAGACACTGAAGTGACTCAAGCATCAGAGGATGGAGCACGAATGAATCGGACCCATGTGCTAGGACAGTGTTTCCTAAACTTTTCGCAGTTGCAACGCCTTTTTCAATTAAAATTCTTCCACAGCGCCCTAACGTAAGTAAAAGTATAACTACTCGTATGTAAGAGATTTTTTAAAATTACACTCGAGTCTCTTTAAATATTTCACAGCACACCTGTCAAGAGATCACTGCGGCGCAGTTTGTGAATCACTGTGCTAGGATGTTGATATGGACAAGTAACAACTGAATACATTTCAATACCCAACGTGTATTCTTTTTCATTGTCTTCTGTATTTGTCCTTAGTAGGGTAGTTGACATGTGTTGTGGTTTACAGCAAGGCTGCAACATTCTCACTCTTCAGCCTAACACATCCGACTTCAGCAAGCCGATATTTAGTCAACTTTTACTACATGCATGTTAGGGTTGCAGTGGATCTACTCTATTTTTTCCTCAAAATAGAGGCTGACTGCTGAAGATGGGGGAACGAAGGGCTTATGGGAATGCCCCGAGTGCTGTGATGTTGGCTCTTGAATCATCTCATCTCCTCAAAAAAATTGGGGCACTGAAATCCATGGTTTCATTTCCTAATGTACCTTTGTAACACATGATTCTCTCACAATTACGACAGAAAAAATATGAACAATTTCAAACGTGACTTGAACTAACCAGAGCAGCTCGTGCAGGTACTTCCCACTGCAGTGACCTCGGCTTATGTCATGAGCAACTGCGTAGATGCAGGCTCCATTGCCATTTTTGTCCACCTCAACTCTTGGCTGTTTACAAGGAAGAAATTTTATTAGAATAATGATGATGATAAACTACAAAGATTTTCAACAAGAAAACAATTACAGTCAAAACTTTGTCTTCTTCTTCAGCACTCCGAGCCCTTGAGGTTCATTGCTGCAGATATCACCCGCCTCTAGTCATCTCTCTGGTTGGTCTACTATTTCTAGTTGGTGACACCAAGTGTTTGCAGGTCTGTCTGGATATTATCTCTCCATCGTCTTCGTGGTCTGCCTTGTGGTCTACGACCATTCATCTCCTTCACGTATACAGTTTTTACTTCTCTGTCATCTGACATTCTTTCAATATGCCCCAATCATTTCAGTCTATTAGCTCTCATTATATGGTGATTTGAACAGATTTTGAATTTCGTTGTTGCTTCTCCCGCTCCATTCACCGCTGTTTGCATCTTTCATGGGTCCAAATATTTGTCGTAAGACTCTGTTTTCAAAAACTTGTAATAAGGCTTCATCTCTTTTAGCTGTGCTCCAAGTTTCAGAGCCATACAAAACGACTGGTCTTATCAACGTTTTGTATATTTTTATCTTGGTGTAGCGAGACAAGACTTAAACAGATGTTGAAAAAAAATAAACAAAGTCAAAACAAGTCAAAACTTGTTAACACAAATTCCAAGGGACTGAAAAATCAAGAGTTCTGATGTTTAAAAAAAACGTGTGTGCTAACAAGGGACTAAAATGTAATTCACCCCTGCTGGAACAAAAATGCTGTTCATGTTTAAACAAGTGTTCATCTTAAGTGAGTTCATGTTAACAAGGCTTTACTGTATTTGACATCTCAGGGGTTAATACACACATCTGCAGGAAAGATGATTCCTCATTCAAATGTCTTTCTTCTTCTTATAGTCGATGAAAGTGTTTTCCATTTGGTCATCAACAGTTTCCCCGGAGAAGGAGGGGAGGGGGAGGGAAACAACCAATTTATAAGATCAAAGATTTAATTTGAACAAAACCCTTGGTCCTTTGCAGTAAGTTGCTCTCATCACGGTCTGCCTGAAGGAAACTCTTGGGTACTCTGCAGAAAGTTGCTCTCATGACGGTCTGCTTGAAGGACATTCTTGGGTCCTCTGCAGAAAGTTGCTCTAATGACGGTCTGCCTGAAGGTAACTCTTGAGTCCTCTGCAGAAACTTGCTCTCATCACAGTCTGCCTGAAGGACATTCTTGGGTCCTCTGGAGAAAGTTGCTCTCATCACAGTCTGCCTGAAGGTAACTCTTGAGTCCTCTGGAGAAAGTTGCTCCCATCAGTCTGCCTAAAGGAAACTCTTGAGTCCTCTGCAGAAAGTTGCTCTCAACGTGGCCTGCCTGAAGAAAACTCGTCACTCATCTCTCCCCTCCCTTGCAATTCTCTACTCAATGTCTCACTTATATCCTGTGTCAATCTTCATGCTGGTCTGCCTATTTCTCTTTCCTGGCACAATGCCTTCTGCTATTGTATATTTCAGTTTCAGAGACAAGATGTTGTTTACTTGCCAATCTTCCTTGATGTTCAGATCTTTCAGGATGTCAGTTATTTCTTTTCTTCTTTATGCATGGCTCAAAAGCCCCTATTTTCTTCCCCCTGAAACTGGGGGGAGGGGGGGGGGGGTAGTCTGAGCCTCACATCCGTATGTTGCCACAGGGAAGATGCATGCTCTCAAAATCTTGACTTTGACACTAATACTTATAAATTCTGAGTTCTTCTGTATGACTATAAAAAAGTATTGAGTCCACGGAAAACTCACCAGTCTTAAAACTAAATGATTATCTTTGGACTGTGCCATCTGGAACTGGTCACCATATTTGTCCAGTCTTTCACCCTGTGTATTTTGAATCTCTTCTATCACAGAGGTTCTTCCATACCATGATGGCAAACTGTCCTTCTTCTTGTTCTTCTTTACGTTCACTGGCTTTAAACTCCGGCAGAAAGCTCTGGTTCCGTCTACTTCTGGACTTTAGTTCTGTTCCAGGACTTGAGTATAGTTCTGTTCCAGGACTTGAGTATCTTTTTGACAGATCTGTTTTATTTGTATGGAGATAATTAGCTCCTCGTCTCTCTGACAAACGAACTCCAACTTCAATTAGGGCCTTCTACAAGATGTTTGTTAAAGGAACAGTTGGGTCTTTTTTCCTTCTGTAAAAGAAACTGATGTGCAATCAAGTCCTGGATCAAGACTAAAGTCCAGAAGTGGACGAACAGCCAGAATTTCTACCAGAGTTTACAGCCAGTGAATGCAAAGAAGAAGCTGCCATGTATGAACTGGTTTTTAACAACACACACAAACATAAAGACGTTCATACACAAAGGAACATAAGAGACAAGAGATTTTACACACACATAAACAATAGGATTTCCACACAGACACCAGTAGAGACATGTACCATCAAAGAGACATGCATATACCCAGACAGACACACAACATCGAACCTCAACTGCATATTGCTGCACCAGGTTTACATCCTTCTCATCTATCAGTGTATACTTGCACTGTAAAAGAAAAAACACATTATGTTTAGCACATCCTATACGAAAAGGTATACCAGAAAAGGCAGGTGCTCGAAGACAACCCATCACAAACATCAGAAAGAGACAGACATCATTTTTTTGGTCATGTTATGAGAGGAGGGGAAATGGAACATGTTACCACTGGAAAGATTTTTGGAAAGAGAGACAGAGGAAGACAGTGTGAGGATTCTTGACAGCCTTATGTCATGGCATCAAGGGGTGTCAGGTGTCAACACACGAACTGATACATGCAGTTGCGGATCGCAGATTGTGGAGAGGCATGATCCTCACACCAGTCGGCAAGGCAAGGGATGATGATGATGATGATACAAGAAGAAGCTCTGAACCCTTTTGCACTATGAGTGCCCCAAAAATGGGTAATAAACCAGTGGAAATTTCTTTTTTTTTAAATCTTTTACAAACACAACTATTTAACATATTCTTCTTCTTCTTCAGCATTCCGAGCCCTTAAGGTTACTGCTGCAGATATCACCCGCCTCCATTCATGGTACATGGTTGGCCTTCTCTTTCCAGTTGGTGACACCAAGTGTTTGCAGGTCTGTCTGGATATTATCTCTCCATTGTCTTCTTGATCTGCCTCTATTTAACATATGCAACTAATAAATTGTATTAACATTTTTTCATTTTGGAATTTCTCCTTCGAAATATTTAAAGATATATAAAGGGAGTCATAAATAAATAAGCACAGAGTGAACCAATATATGGAATTCATACCACAGGGCCTTAAATGTGTTGGGTGACTTATGCCGTGACCCTATTACCTCTATCACTGAGGCTTGCGGGAATATTGTAAGGCAACCAGGCTTTTAAAAATGGATTGGATTTACAGAGAAACCCCTCTGATTGATACATGTAGCTGACATATCCACATCCGGGCCTCCTAAACACTATGCAGGCGCACTCAGAACCAGTGGCCTTCAATTATGCTTTTCGAGAACAGGTCACTGTAGAAACAGTGATGTATCTGCATTTACGGAGCTGTGCCAGAACCTAAAGTTAAAGCAATGTTTTCCACTTGTGAATTTTAACAAAGAAGACACATACAATAGATTTCACAATTTATTGCAAGGCATATTTTGCTGTATCTCGTCTCGCCAGGTGAATACTACAGTAACAACTGATTGTAGATTACTGAAATTAGTTGAAGTGACAGTGATAAACTGGTTTAGTCCAGAATTATGCAGAAAAAAAGACATGCTTTTCCCTAAGCTTTTACCCTGGTGAAACAGATAGTTTTTGAATGTAGTCAAATATGTTTCAGTTCGAAGGATTAATTTATTTGCTTCATTTTTATCAATTGTTACTGTAGTGTGCACCTGACGAGATACAGTGAGCTATGCCAGGCAATAAATTGTGCAATCTATTGTTTGTGTCTTCTTTGTTTAAAATAACCTAAAATGACTAAACTTAACCTTCCCAGTGTGAATGTGAATAGAGTTCAAACCTGACAGAATGGGGAGTGAAACTTATTATGATAACATAATTACCCCCTAAACATCTGGTAACTACTACTGTTTTCATCTATGTTAAAGAGAACAGCTTTGATCATACTGGGAGACAGTGGTGTCAAGCAATACTGAGGGATTTCTTAAAGCTGGTACACCAGCCCCAAACTGGTGTCATTAGCATAAAAAACTTGGAGACATGCTTTGGCGGTCTGAGCACTTATTGACGTGTCATGTGTCCAGTTCTTCTTCTTCTGTTATTACCCTAAATAGGATGTTTGGCACATTGTGTTGTAGTCTACAGTTAGGCTGGGATATCTGTGCCTATTTTGATTACAGCAAAACCCCTAACTGGTCACCTTTTATGACATGTTAATAAGGGGCAAATAGGTCACTCCTGATTTTCCTCAAAACGGGGCCTCAGAATCTATAAGCAGATTGTGTCCAATAACCATAGTCCATTTTGATAATCTGAGATTTCTGGGAATGTAAAAATCCAATATGAATATTATTAATTTTGACTTTAAATAATTACATGCATCTCAGTCATCAAGAATGGTCATGCAAATATGAAACTAAAAAATTGGGTTTATGCTGCATCTGAACGGTGCCCTCCCATACCCTTACTCACTTTGTACAACCCAATACCTGATACCATAGTCCTTGAGAAAGCAGCCATGCCCAGCATCCACACTCTACTCATGCAGTATCAAATTCGTTGGGCTGGTCATGTGGTACGCACGCCAGATCACATGCTCCCCATTAAAACTCTTCTATGGTGAGCTGCAAAATGGGAAATGTTCCCAAGGCGGGCAAAAGAAACGCTTTAAGGACACCTTGAAGCCTTCACTCAAAGCATTTGAGATGAATGACACCAATCGGGAGGCTGCCTCTCAAGACCAAAATGCATGGCATGCAAGTCTACACAAGGGCGTGGCTACATGTGAAGCAAACAGAACAGCAAGACTGATTAAGAAAAGAATGGACAGAAAGGCGACTGCATGACATCCCCTCCCTGGCACAGCACTCATTCCCTGTCCTCACTGTCCAAGAATTTTTCGGACCCACATCGGCCTCATCAGTCATCTTCGTACTCATTCTCGATTAAAAAAAGAGTGGTCATCATCATCTTGATGGACAACACACAACTCAAATAAATAAACTGAAAACAGAAACATAGAGAAAATGGCAGATCATAGAGAGAAAAAAACCTGTATACATAAAAGAATTGGCTCTCCTCCGAACCCCCGCATTATGGCGGCCTGAAATATCCGTTTGGGGCTCAGTTCTATTAAAAATATGCCGGCTCCGTATAACGAAACAGGGTCTCAGCGATATGTTACTTGCAGACCAGTTTCTTATTGTTTCCAATAACCTAACAATTCTAAGAGACGCAACACTGCAGACGATAGTAGCAGACGATAATAGCGACCATTGACACTTTCCATTGTCTGACTTTCTGCCGACGAACAAATCGCAACAAATCTAGGATCGGCTTGGAAAAACAAAACAAATGCTCTAACAGGGTCTCAGCGATATGTTACTTGCGGACCTGTTTCTGTGACTAAGCCTCCCCACTGACTGTATCCCCCGCGTGCGCAGCATGGGGCTAAACCAGATGGCTTAGACTCATGAGCAGCAGCTACCGCATCTCCTGCAACTTCCTCCAATTACTTTGCTCGTGAGTCCCAGGCACCTAGTTTAGCCCCCCATCTGCGCGGCGCGGGGGATACACTCTGCGGTGAGTTTAATCGCGTTTTGCGCACACCAACAAGTCTGACATCTACCGCTGCTAAATCCTTAATCGGAAGAACAGTATTGCTAATCTGTGTCAGAGCGCGTAGTCTACCCGCCATATTACTTTCATCGTCTGTAATGTCTCGAAATTGTCAACGGTCGCTTTTATCGTCTGATAGTATCGTCTTCAGAAACGATCGACATTGTCACCGGTTGCTTTTATCGTCTGCTACTATCGTCTGCAATGTTGCGTCTCTAGTTTTGCCGCGATTTGTTCCTTGGCAGAAAGTCCGCATTTTTCATTGGACTTAGCCCCGAACGGATATTTCAGGCCGCCATAATGCGGGGGTAGAAGTTTGGAAGAGAGCCAAAGAATTAATTAGGAGTAGACCATGGGGCAGACCAAGAAGACAATGGAGAGAAAATATCCAGGTGGACCCACAAACACTTGGAAATCACCAACTGGAAAAAGAATGTCAATAAGAGTGACTAATATACTTATATCCTTCAGTTTTAAATATTATCTCAATAAGAGTGATTGACTGCCAGTGATATCTGAAGCAATGAACCTCAACGGCTAGGAATACTGAGAAATATGAAATAAACTAAGTTACTTAACCAACGAACGTGAGCAAAATATATCAACAAGCTCCAGAAATCAATAATATTGCCCTAGACCGTTTATGTAGTTTCGATGAAAGGGACAATAACCGCTTCTAGGGGACAAGTCTTGAGTACATTTTACCAGCTCAAAATTTTCCAATAATGCCTAATAACTAATAGGCACTAAAATCTTAACCAATTCTCACAAATAAAGCCATGGGGGAGTACGGGCCTGTCGTCATTTAAGATACTGACCTGAAAATTGTGCCCTAACTAAGCATTCACTGCTCTAACTACAAGTCTACGACTCTGTTTCAAACTGTCAATTTCTGCAACTAGTTACAAACCTTGCCGGCGACTCGTCCAAGTCGCAAGACCCCCAACTTGACGCTGAGGTCAGACATTTTTATTTTCACCTGATGAGATCACAGACAGCCCAAACTGCTAAACACATCTAGAAATGCATCAAAGTCACATCCACCGTTTCTTGTTCTTCTGTCCCCGACATACTTCAGACGACATAATGGGGACTTTTGGGGACAGCAGCAAGCAGGCCGCATCTGGCTGGGCGGTATCGATTACCACACAGGCAGGGTAAGGAAGGACTGTCGATCACTTTAGTGTTGAATGTTGAATTAAGAGTTGATATCACGTCACTCGGGACACCCTCGGTCGCAAGAACGGAGTTCCAGGTCCGATGATACCAGTAACAGTCTGTATTCCCGCTTCGCATTTTCCTTGAGTGTTGAGTATCGGCCAGATACTCTGGTTAATCCCTGACAGCACCATTCTCCTCAGACAATAATGATCTAATGTGCCTCTAATGTGCCTCCGCAATGTTCATTCGCTCCCAAAGGGCCCTTATAAAATCTAGATTGTCAGGCATCACCACTAAATGATGTAGAAACAACCAGTCTGTCTACACGTTCGTTTCCCAACACACGACAATAGATGTCAAAAATATCCAAAGGACGTTAACTACCCAGGCCATTCTGCACGGAGCATGCCTTCCTTGGCAAGCAGGCAATACTAGGGTGCCCTTTATTTCCTGAACTCAAGGCATTTTTATACAGACTTTTTAATTAAAAATAAAAAGAATCGACATCAGAGCTACGGAGTGCGTGCTCCGTGCGTGAAACAATCAGCAACCATATTGACAGTCCCTTTTTTTAAAACTGCTAATTACTGGGGAGTATTTTTAATCGCCAGTTACACAGGTAAGGCGTCTTTATTTCTTTTTAATCTTCAAACTTTGCTCGAAATTGAATTTATTTACAATTATTTGTATTTATATTTGGGGACCGCGCGAGAAGAACGAGAAAATATACAAAGAAAAGGTCGATATGTGTTCACAACATATGTTGTATTCGTAGTCGTCCAAGTCTCTTTGAAACTTTCATAAATATCGTATTTGACAATTGAGTATCGCCGGTATCTAAAATCTGTGTCGCTTGACTCGCTCTGTCCCATGTCCCAAATATGTTCTATACCAGTGTTCCTCAACTTTTTTTTTAACACCCGCGGCCCATGAGAACAAGGGATTTTGTTTCGCACCCCACTTGACAGCTAAACAAAAACAAACGTAGGAGTTTATTTGTTCAATACGATGCCCTATGGTATCAAGTTTCAGCTGATGCGACATCTTTTGAATCACATCCTTGAAGTGTTATTCACTCACATTACTTCCTAGAAGAGGCACACACACACACACAAACGCGCGCACACACACACACACACACACTGTCTCGTACACATTTTATTGTGTGAAAGAATTAACACCCGACATCTCGACACTTGGGAAATTTACATAAACATTCTGTGTTCAGCTTCACCATCCAGCACAGTTCCAATATAAATGCTGCCAGTTATGATCTGATTAATCTTGCCTTTCCTACGAGTAGAATTTTTTTTTTTTTTTTTTTTTTTGGTGAAAATGTCATGTTCAACCCTAAAAGCTATATTTATGTTATATAGTGGTAATTAGGTTCTCAAAGCATATATTTGTTATTTTATATTTCAAAGGATCATTGAGGTGAAACAGAAAAGAAACGAAGAAATGTTGTCCGAAAGAGAACTGATTATCCACTTTAAAAAAAACGGCTATCTTCCTAATAACATTCCAACATTATCCGCGTGGCGCGGAGGGGGGGGGGGCTAAACTAGATGGCTGGGACTCACGAGCAGCAGCTGCCGCATATCTTGCAGCTTCCTCCATTTTATTCGCTCGTGAGTCCCAGCCATCTAGTTTAGCCTACCTCTGCGCCGCACTTAGTAGCGCGGGGATACTCTCGGCGGTGGCGGTATAGTCGCCGGAAAGAGGTCGGCAATTTACACATGACTGAGCCCTTTTAGGGTATTTATTTGCAACCCGATGCGATCTGACCAGATCCTGCGAGTAGCAGTGACACCCGTCAAAACAAGCTATCCTTCCCTCTCACTCTTCCGACCTCACTTTATGTCATCTAAAGCATTCTAGCACTCTAAACATATGCTACTTCCACTGTCTCTGCCCCATCGGCGAATAACACCGTAAACGCCAAAGAGTTAACAAAAAAAAATCGTAATTTAGTATATTTTCAGGAGAAAGAAGACAACGGAACCCACTAAAGGCCTCCCGACGTTCTGAAGCAGATAGCTGAGGGCATTGCACCAAAGGGGACCAGCACTCGGGAATTCCAGTCTCTCTTACGCCACCCTACCCCCACACCACATGTACTTTAACAATGCCTTTTAGTCTTATTTCAGACCAGGGGACCTCAACCCACCAGAAGTACCAGCGTCGCGAACCCTCTCTCTCAAGGTATCTGTCGCTCTTATTCTTTCGACCTCACTATGACATCTCCTGACACATTCGAGCAATTACGTTCTCTCATTTGCAGTCTATCTTAACTCCACTACTTCTCCTCACTCGGGGAAGAGGAAAAAAAAAACGGGCTGATCACAACAAAAGATTGTGACAGCCATACTTGTCCTGAAAAGGAACATTGTTTGAGACGGCGCTACGTGGTGTTGTTTGGCTTTTCCCCGCGGCTTCACAGAGCGGTAACCCAGCAGGCAATAGGGCACCAGCGCAGCGACCAGCACGAGTTAAACCAAGCACCAGCAACAATCAGCTAAAACCCACAATAATTGAAACTAATAGAGGTGGACCAGACAAGGCCCAGAACCCCAAATATCACACCGAACTTAGGAAGACAAAGAACATGAATATCAGGTGTGACTTCACACCACAAAGAATAGGAAAACCAAATAAGATGGCCAAGGAACCTTCCTTAATATAGCAGGCTTCCGGGCTGTTTAAAAAGGATCAAGTTTGGAATTTTTGTTGAACAACTGGAATTGGAATTGGGTATTTTTTTCGGCCTCGATAATTTGGGACCGTTATTCGGAGGATAGCCGAAAAAGCAATACGAGTTCTCTGGGCAGGTAGCGAGAAGTAAAAAATTGGAGTAGTCGTTAGACAAGTTAAATATTGTGAGGGCCCTTTAGGATCGCTCCCAAGTAGACAGACAGTGCAGAGGCACAGATAGATCATTACGGTCTAAGGAGAATGGGGCTGCGAGGAGTTACCAGGGAATCTGAACACACAGGGGAAGGATGAGACGGATATACAATCAGACAGTCAATGGTACCATCGGAATTGGAATTCTTCGCTTACTGCTGAAGATAGGGCCTGAATACTATGGGAGTATCCCGAGTGCTTTGATGTCGATTCTTAATTCCACATTCAACATTTGGAGTAGTCCTGAAAGCCTGAAAACTGGAAGTTTTGAGAACAGACAATGGAAAGCAAACATAATGTTGAACGGTTTAGCATAATATTTATGGTGTGCAAAGCAATGAGTAGGCTGACAGGTTAGCTGATGTTGTCCTTTTAGGCGCTAGACTACTTTATGATAACGCATACGTGTTGAAAGCTCTCTTGTATCAAGCGAACAGTTCAGCAGAAAGGACAAATTCGGCTCAGGCGGGGAGGGGAAAAGAGGAGGGATGTAATCCATGGTTCTGGAATATTTTCAGCATCGAGGAAGAGAAGGATGGGGGGGGGGGGGGCATAAGCGGATTTATACTCAGATTTTAACAGGTACTATTAACACAGTAATTCTTTGTTGGTTACCAAAGAAGGAGACAGAGCACGTGTGTGAATGCCCAGAGTGCAGTCACGCCTTGATTAACTCATTCAATCATTCCTTGGCGTAAGCGTATGAAAAAACGTCTGTATTAGTAAATATAAACAGCATTAAAAGCCTTTAGTTCAGCAACAGTGAAGAAATCAGGGATGTGAGTCGTGGACTATCTCACAGTTTTTAAGAAAGAAAATATGGGTTTTGAAGTGAAATACTACAGAAAGATTCTCAGAATACCATGGAGAAAGAAGAACAGAAATACTGGCATTCTAAAAGATCTAAACTTCAGAGAAGATTGGCTAATAAACAGCATCTTGTCTCAAAAGCAGAAATTGTTTGACCATTTCAAGCGCCATGGTGGATTATAAAAATTAACATGGCGCAAGGAAGGAGGCGAGTGGCAGGGACCGACCAACTCGACGATGGGCACAGGATATAGGTGATTCCTTGAATATAAAAGTACACGAGACAGAAGTGCTGGCGAGAGACCGAGTCTCTTTCAGACATACTATGATGAGAGCGACGTTCTGTAAAGGAGTTGCTACAAGATGATGATGATGATCAGTAAATATAGTGGTACACGAAGTAGAGGTTAGTAGTAGTAGTACATTTTACCCCGCTAGGACATCACACAAGCGACAGACACCCGATGACACAAAGTGCCACCATGTGGATGAGGATCACCCGTGGAGAGGTCCCGGAAACCGCGTTCAGCCATTAGACCATATTTATGGCTGGGCTATATTGCGGCCATTGGCAAGAGCCATGGTGGGGCTTAAAAATAACGAAAAATTGCATCCTAAACGGGAATGTTGTTTGTTTGTTTTAGTATACAGAAGCCATGAGTCCCACAAGTTTTTAAAAGGAGTAGAAAATTATAGGGATGGAAAAAGTTGGTAAGAAACAACAAACAGTTTATGTTAGCTTTACAAAATCGATCACAATAAACGAACAAAGGACGCTGCTGCGATTAGCCTTCATCGGCACATAAAGAACAATACAGTACACATACGCAAATGTCACATATCACTCCTGTCACGTGCCTGATGTAAGGATTTCTCCTTCAGAACCAGCAGCACTCAGAAATAATTATGTTGAGTCGTTTGGCTCGTATTGGTCTAAGGGATTCCCCGTGGCCAATATACGCTCAACTTATTTCTGGAGTAGGGAAACTCAAGTATTGGCACTACAAAATATATCAGTATATGAATACAATATTCCTAGGCACCCTTGGCTGGACACCCCCACTACTTACTAAAGAAAGCCCCAAGGTTATG